TGGTGACAGGCTGGTCATCTCTTTATCTAAAATGGAACAGTTTGGCTTTCCAGGGAAACCCTAGGGAGCTTTGATCTGGCAGGAAGACTCAATGTAATCTGGGTATATCACATCCAGGCAGGAGAGACAGAGCTGTCCCAAGCCTGACGGACCCGCTTGTACACAGTAACCAGACCTGTGAATGGCTTCTGGAGCATCTTTAGTAAATCTGAATCTCCACATGACTCGGTGAGGGGAAGAGACCCTCCCTCCAATGTCATGCTGGAATTAAGTCAATGGGGTAACTAGGAAGCAGTTTTCAAACAACCCATAAAATGAGACACTCTCCCCCCAATACTGTTGTCCTTGTTCTGCTCCTGACCATTGCTGGAGGAGTAAAGAGAGGCTGATCCCAACGCTTATCCCACCAGCAAAAGAGTATTTTAGACTGTTAGTTTCAGAGGTAGCCATGTTGGTCTGCAGTAGAACAGCTAGATTTGAGTCCTGCAGCCCCTTAGAGACCCACAAGATTCTGGAGGCCCAAGCTTTTGAGAGATTGTCAGGAATGCATCCAGTGTGCTGATCTCTCTCTCTCTCTTTCTCTCCCCGCCCTCCCCCTTTATGAATTTGGGTGGAAACAGACCACAAAAAAGCCAAAAAGGATGGAGCCCCTTATTTAAAAAATGGAACCCCATGGGGTTTTCAAGTCAAGAGACATTGTCAGGCTGGGATCACACACACTTTCAATCCATTTTCAGTGCACCTTCCAACTGGATTTTGCCAGTCCAGACAGTAAAATCCTGTTAGAAAGTGCATTGAAAGTGGATTATTTAGTGTGTGTGATCGCAGCCTCAGAGGTGGTTTGCCATTGCTTGTCTCCGTGTCACCATTCTGGACTTCCCTTGGTGGTCTCCCATCCAAATACTAGCCAGGACTGACCCTGCTTCACTTCTGAGATCTGATGAGATCAGGCTTGCCTGGACTATCCAGGTCAGGGCAAGGGTAGATTTGGTGAAGGAAAAAAATATTACAGTCCTTGAAAAAGAGAGCAGAGAACAAGTGTTTGCTCTGATAGCTGGTAGAGGAGATTTTCTCTTTTCTGTTTACTTATATCACATTTGAACACTGACAGTGTCATCCTCAAGGTGGGCAATAACAGCCACCTCAATAAAATAATAGAACCAGAAAACAAAATCCATGCCTTTGCCTTAAAACAGGCATTAAAAACCATGGTAAAAGCCATGGTGGTGGTGGAGGAGGAGGAGGAAACTGCCGTCAAGTCACAGCAGACTTAGGATGCCAAGACAAGAGACTTCAGAGGTGGTTTGCCGTTACCTGCCTCTGCGTTAAGTACCCTGATATTTTTGGAGGTCTGACCTTATTTAGATTCCAATATCTGATGAGACTGGGCTAGCTTTGGCCATCCAAGTGAGGGCTTAAAAACCATAAAGGCTCAGAATATAACATGCATAAAAACTTACATTCACCACAGGGAAAAAAAAATGTTTTGCTGTCTTTCTGTTTGCAGCTGGGATGCACATCCTCTGTCCCACAGCTACAAGACAGGGTTTTTTTGGTAATGTTCTTTTTTCATTTCCCAGGAAACAACCTATCTCTGTGTATCTTGTGAGGTTTCACCTCAAGTGTAGAAGATTTATTACTCCTCCTTCAAATGATTTTATCAGCCACTTTAGCAGCTGCCAAAAGCAATACCATCATGCACCAGAGACCTCACCCTAACCTCAGGAAAAAAGACTGGGGCAAAGGCATTGATTTTAAAAACAAAACACAAAACACCAGGATGGGGTCATATTCAGGTGGGTGACAGGATTGGCAGGAGGAAACGACTGTGGAAGTCAGAAAATCCTGGCAGAGACATTAAACAGCCCAGACCTTTGGGTCTTACTATAATGCTCCGCTCCAACATGGTCTATAATGACCTTCCTTTTTCTGAAATCAGTAAAACTGGTTTTATGACCTTGATGCCCATGTATGATTGCCCATCTCCAGGTGGGGCATGGAGTTATCTCAGAATTGTGATGGATCTTCAGAATACATAATATATCAGTCCCCATGGAGAAAATGACAGCTTCAAAGGCAGGGCTGCCAACCTCCAGTTGGTGGCTGGAGATCTGCTATTACAACTCATCTTCAGGTAATAGAGATAATTTCACCTGGAGAAAATGGCCACTCTGGAAGGTGGACTCTATGGCATTATACCCTACTGAGGTTCCTCCCCTTCCCAACCCTGCCATCCTCAGGCTCCATCCCCAAAATCTCAAGGTATTTCCCAGATTGGAGTTGACCACCTTATTAAGAGTGCATCACACAGTGACAGAGGTCCCTCCCCACCCCAAGCTCTGCCACCAAATCTCCAGGAACTTCCCAACCGAGGATTGGCAACCCTAAGCCCAACCTAAAAAATTCAAGAATCTTTGGGTTAAGGCCTCTTATTTAAGAGTCTGGTTGCACATTCTGATTTAAGTATAACTGTTAGCCACTCTCCAGATAGGCCCTTGCCAAATGTATCTTTTGCTCATTTACATGTTTGAGCACAACCCAGAGAACAGGCTAAAATGGCACAAGGGTGGACTGAGGGTTATATCCTTTATAAAAGTGCTCCCAAACTCAGAACTCTTGCAAGAACTTGCTGGCACCTGTCCACCCCACCACATGTCCTCTGTGCCTAGAAATCGCCAGCCTTTGCTGTCAATTGGGCAGTCACTCTTTCAGTTGCCTGAATTGCTGATGAAATGCAAAGGTTTTTCAGTGAACTTCCCCTTTTAACCAAGAAAAAAAAAAGGAAGCCGTCCACTTGCTGAATGGGAGAGGCTCAAATTATGCTCAGCTGGTTTAGTTCACACTGTGACCCTGCCTGGCTTCCTGCTATTCAGATGTGTTACTTCCCCTTTGTGGTAATGGCCTGTGGCACTCGGCCAGAAAACATTATTAATTTCAGAAGTGGCCTGACAGCAAACCCACAGTGAAACGAAAGGAAGTGCTGGGGAGGCCATCTGTTGGTTTCGGCAGAACAGTAGGAGCCCAGCTCCATGGGCTAGATGAGGAAAGCAGATTAATAATCCACAAAGAGGAAACTGCCTAAAATTATCCAGACCATATTTTTTTTAAAAAAATATCACTTGAGCTGCAGCTGGACAGGAAATTGCTAGAGCTGTCTGCACTTTTCTGCTTTGAACAACACAGTACCGAGAAGGCCAAGAACAGAAAGCGTTCGATGTAGGATTAATGCAAGGCAGCCCACGTCTGCTTCCACGCTTTATGAATTAATTCTAGGCTCCACAGGATTGGTTCATTCATTTCCCCCCTCCCCTTCTGATTGTTCTGTCAGCCCACAATGCTGTAGCATTCAGAAGAGCACACAATTCATTATTTTGGCTAGAATTTCTCCAGACTATGAACACTAAAGAATTGGCCAGCTATACATAAACTTTGGCTGAAAGAAGCAGGAAGTTCTGGAGGATAGCATTTCTGTGCCATGGTTCCTGTCTTTGGATTGGAAAGAGAATTGTCTGAAGGGGTTTAGGTAAGGAACGGTGCCATTCACACTAATTACACTCCATGGATTTGTCTAAATCCCTGTTGAAGCTATCTGAGGCTATGGTCATCACCATATCCTGTGGCAGTAAATCCACAAGTTAATTACTCTTTGAAAGTAGTACTACCTTTTGTTTGTCCTGATTTTACTACCTGTCAACTTCACTGGTTCGCTCCAAGTTTTGTTGTCATGGAAGAGGGAGAAAAAGTCCTGTCCTCTTCTTTCAGCCCATGCTTGGAATTTGATTACCTGAATTGTTTGCAGTATTACAAAAGCAGAGTCAACACAGACCTATACAAGAGCATTGCCATACAGGCTATTTTGTTTCCAACCCCTTTAATAATCTGCTGCAGAGTGAATTGTTTAGCACCATCTTCACATTTATGTGAGGCTGGGGAACATGTTTGTCTCTTCCGGGCTTCACCATCAGACAAGGATTTCCACATGTGATTCAGCTATCACAGACCAACATTTTGTTTTGTCGAAGCAGTAAATACACACAATATCACAGCTGGAGTTTACCTGTCACCTCCTATCTTATCAACTGCAGTGTATTTCATGGGGAAAATTCATCCATACAGGTGTAAAAATCAACCAGCTATAGTATATAAGAATGCACGTAATCTACAGCTGTATATGACATATAGACTTAAACAGAACTGGAATGTTTTCTCTAAATCATACCTTAGACTTCTGATCGGTGAAGGTACCAAGCGTTTTGTAACACAATGACCATCTCTTACAGCATTACCATTCTCACAGAATCTCATGTTAGATCCATGTGACTTTGCAGCACAAATGTGGCCTAGCCACTGAGGACAGACACTGTCCTTCTCTTCCAGTCTGGCCGTGAAATTCCAGTTTTAATAACTTATTGGAAACTGACTGCATGAGTACTTCCAAATACTGCTCTCCAGAGAACTTTACATGGGAGCAAGACATGCAGTTGGATTAGGGTTATCCATCCAGTGTTTTAATTTCAGTATCACATACATTCAGATATGAGGTTCAATGTGTCCATGGAAGCATATGCAACCCAATTTAAGGTTTCCAATCCAATAAATTATATGGGTGCAAAAGTTTGCGTGTGCATGCAGCTCTTCTTTGGGTCAGGTTGAAAGAGTTGAGGATCAAAAACTGCAAGATAGTTTCACAGTATCCCCCCCCCCCATTTGAGTATTAAATGTTCACCCATTTTTGAATCCACTTTGGGGTCAGGAAGCCATTTTCTCCAAGCCAATTTAGCCAGGGATCCTGGAGGGGGGGGTTGCCCTCTTCTGGGCATAGAGCAGGGGTCCCTGGGGGGGTGTGGGGGGGAGGCATTTGTGAATTTCTTGCACTGTGCAGGCAATTGGACTAGATGACCCTGGAGGCCCCTTTCAACTGTGTTCCCTAAGTAGAAAAATCAAACTTGTCAAGTTCTCAATAGCCAAAATAGTTATTTATTAATAATTTATGACCTTACATTCTTAGAATAAAATCCCAACTTTACATCGGCAAATTATACTCTCCCTTATTGACAACTGTGTGCAAGAAGCTCTTGCATATACACAGGTACACATGCTCACACACACACACACTTCCAGTTTTTTTTTACAAAAATAAATGCAAAATATTGCATTTGAGGTGAAGCTCCCTGAAGAGTTTGTACAGAGGTAATGCACTGTTTAGCACATCTCTGTGTGTCTTTTAAAAATTGGACAAAAAACAATCTTCTCTTTGAAGACATAACTCTCTTCCAAAAGAAACGCTAAGCTATTTACAAAGGTAAGGCGCAAAAAAAAAAAAAACAGAATGAGAACCTAAATTGATGGCACACCCCAAAAGAAAAAAATACACAAAATATAGACTTTATCCATTCACAAAATGTGAACAGACCAACCTCAAAAGCACAGACATTCAAGGAACAAAGCCTGACATTTCAGTGGTAAAATTAAGCATTGTCACAAATGTGTCCTTTGCACTCCAGAAATAAAGAACTGCTGAAGAGGGAAGAAAGAGGGCATCTTTTAGGGTGACCTCATGTACCTGTCTTTAAAAAATGATGTTGCTTATTGAATCAAGATTAAACATTTACATTGATTAAGCCAAGCACTGGCAAACAAGCATTCCAAATACACTGAGCTGAAAACCTCTCTCTTTGGCTCCTCTAAATCAAAATATGAAAGGGGGGGGAAACAAAGAGAAACAGTCTTCACTGAAGACAACAATGTATATTACAACTGCAAGTAATACATTTCTCCCAGTCTCATTAGAGGACAATGTGCTTGTGGGATCCATTCTCCCCTACCTGTGTTTGGAATCCGCAGTCCAACACACTGCATAGGTGTGTGTACACCGAACACATAAAGTTCCCTCCATTTGCAATAGCTGATTCCAAACATTGTAACCTTTTTATCATAATAAGCACACAGGCGGCCACCGATCAATAGCAGGGCCCACAGGAGAAAGCTGCTGTTTCTTTGCTGCTGTCAATGAGAAGCATTGAGGAATGATCACATGACCCATGCTTGGAAGAGGTGAGGACTGGCTGGAGTTCACGTGGACTGCAGGGAGTCCACTTGGAAGACATTTTGGTTGGAAGGAGTGGTGAAATACAGTTGCTGGCTGGGCACGCGGTTGTCACAGGGGCTGTTCAGCCCCAGAGTCCTCTCAAAGTCTAGCAGCTGCCCCATGAAATTGAAGTTTGGGGAGATGTTGGATTTCTTCATCTTGACAATGTCATAGGCATCATTCATGGACAAGTTGAGCTTCTGCATAAGATATGCAACTGTCACTGTGACTGAGCGACTGATCCCTGCCAGGCAGTGCACTAACACCCCACAATTTTTCCCCCGAGCTTCATCTATGGAAGGAAAAGGAGAAAGACAAAAGAGCATGAAATGAACATGTTCCTTCAGCCTTACTTGCCATCTTTGAAATGTGAGATGAAACCAAAATAAAAGAACACAAGAGAAGCCATGTTGGATCAGTGTTTGTCACAGTGGCCAAAACCCAGGTGCCATCAGGAGGTCCCCCAGTGGGGCTAGAAAATATAGAATATACATGGGAAAGAATAATTAACATAATATTTCATTTCTATTTTGCATTGCACCATCAAAGCTTTGCTTAGTTTGGCTTCCCTTCTTGGAGCAGGCCACATTTATTCCCATTTTTACTTGACCAAAGCCACACAAAATAGCCCATGGCAGACAGGGCCTTCAATAGGGCCTCTTAGATTCAGTGTGGTTAGCCAATGTGGTATACTGGACTAAAACCAGGGGGATCCAGGTTCAAATCCCCACTCAGTCACATAGCCCACTCATTGAGTGATCTTGAATCAATCACTCTCTCACGGCCTAACACACACACTACAGGGTTGTTGCAATGGACATGGGGAGAACTGTGCATATCACCCTGAGATCATGGGAGGAAGAGGGGGAATATATGAGGGATTCACCCGGTCAAGCATGTTAAATACTTGAATAGACCAGCTCTACAGAGTAAGATTCTTCTCTTACTCTGCAGAGCTGGTCTGTTCAAGTACTTAATTATCTGCAGAAATACAAGGTGCAGCCTTTGAAGGTATAGTTCTTTGAGGAACTATACCATTTCCGACCACACGTGGGAACATTCATGAATACAGCCATTCATGCATGAATGCTTATCCTTACAGAAAACTGAGTATCAAAGAGAAGAATTCTAGTACAGTCTTCTACCAGTTTCTATGTGCAGCAAAGCCATTTGTCTCACTGGAGAGGATTCAAACATCCAGTCTAGTGGTATAGTCACGGGTACACTGTGAGATTCTGTTACTGTGCACATTGTTAGCAGTAGCCAATGACTCAAGAATAGCAAAAGTTGTTGTAGGTTAAAAGGCTGTTTCTGGTACTAAGAGCAGAAACAGGCAGCAACCTACGTTAGCAGACTTTGAAGCAGATTCCAGGAGGACCCACAGCTCACAAGGGCAATAGTTTTTCCCTTTGAGGATACGGAGTTAAAATACCTTGCCACAAAAAGGAAGCATGTATGTGAGGGAAACCCTACAATGTCACCTTTTTATAGAGATGAGCAGATTGCAAAAGGTCTATTAAATTATCCTCCAACTGTTGTGCAGTACAGCTGAACAATGGAGGTATTCAGCTGGTCTAAAAGGAAAAAGAGGAAGTCATCCGGGACAGCCCATTAGGAGAAACAGGATGTCAACATTGCTAGAAAATGGGTTTCTTTGTAAGAGGAAATGCATTATAATGCTTAGAGATTAGTTTCTTTGTGGCTTCCAGCCCACATTTCTTCCTGCTAGGTTCAGATTACCTACATTCTGCCCTATTACCAGGATCACTCAATCAGATTACAGTACAGTATTCTGACAGATGACACAATGACTCTTCTGAATGAGAAAGGGCATAATTCAGTCTTTTCACAAAAGGAAATCAAAAGTATATTTCTAAATTTATAACGAGTGTGCCCAATCACTTTTAAGAGAAACCGCCTTATGATTTTAAGGAGAACTTGAGAGCCAAAGAGAAAGCATCTGAGTGTTGCCACTCAGCTTGGGTTCTAGAAAAATTATAGACAAAGAACTCAATATACAAACTGTTTATACTGACGTCAATCTAGTCTGATGAAAGTTAATGGAACAAAACAAAAAGGGCTTAGATATATTGTAAAACATTTTTAAAAATCAAGCCAGTTCAGACCCTGGGGCATTTTGTCATGCTGTTCTGACCCAATCTGAACAAGCACTTTTCTTCTCTATATATAAAACTGGGGAAATCTTTATGCTGTTTCTCTTGTAAATCAAACATAACTTTGTTTTTAAAGGCACATTTGCCCTCCAATAAGCTGATAAAGCATGACTTCAAAATACAGATAAATCATTGAAATTATAACATCATTTTACAAGCTTAAACTGCATAGTGGGACATGGCTAAACTCTCGGGATTGGGGACATAAATACATTCCTACTTCTTAAAGCTCAATGGGCTTAAAAACTGCATACCAAGTTCTAGCAATGCAAGATACATTGCTAGTAAGTCAAGAATGGTAATAAGAAAACACAGCAGGAACTCATTTCACAGTTGTTATGATCTAAATCTCACCTATAAAAGAGATGGCCTCAGGAAAGAACTGAGACAAGTTTTGGCTCCAGTGGTCAGAGATGGGGATTTGCTTGTATTTGAACTCGCCAGCATTCTCAAAGAGGTTAGGCAGGTTGGGGGTGACATTCAAGATATATTTAATGCCAAACTCTTCTAAAACATCCAAGTTAGTGGAATCCTTGGCACAGCCCAGGTAGAGATAAGGAAGGATCTCCACTGGGAAAGAAGGCTGGTTGTTGGACAGGGGGCTGCCGTCAGAGTCAGTGGCACTGTTAGGATCGCGATCAATGTCAGACTCAATGTCTGAAGAGGAATCTGAGCTGATTCGGAGGCCACCTAAGCCCAGGACTGGCAAAGGGGGAGAGCTGCTGCTGCAGGAACTGTCGAGGTTAGTTTCGCAGTGGAGGGCATACTCTGCCTGGAACTTGCTGAAACCACCTGGGGGGAAACAGGAAGCACACACAAAAAAAGAGGTCTGATTAGGAGAGCATCCTTTGCGCTTCTTTTTCAGTCTGCCTGGGAGATGCAGAACTGGAAATGGTCTAACGTGGCTACAAAGAACAGGCTCCCTTTTGGGGGGAGGGTTGTCGAAATATTTTTTTTAAAAAAATACCCTTAGGGGATAATATGATGAGCAGTAATCTACATAACTGACACACTCTGGAATAAAAACCCACCCTTCACAGAAACATTCCTTTCTCCCTTGGAAGAAGAGCTCGCTGCAGCTGGAAAGCATACTGCCTTACTAATAAGAGTTGATCCAGCAGCGGTGTGGTGAAATGGTCCCACTTGGGAAGGAGAACTGTGGTCTGATGCCTACTTACATTAGCATAGTACCATCTGGATTCTCTCCCCCAGGCACCAAAATGCCTTGGGGCATATCTGGCTAAGACAGGATATTGCTAATCTCAGATCTTAAAAGACATCATGCTACAAGGTTAGATTCCTAGGAAACCTCCCCTTCTTCTAGTCTGTTGTTTTGAGGGAGGGGCTGGCCGCCTCCAAGAGCCTCTGATGGTCTAAACAAAGGCAGAAGAGAGGTCACAGGAGTTCCAGACCTCTAAGGCCCGCCATTGCTTGAAAGGGCTTCCCTTTATTCCAGATCCACAGAATTCTCCTTTCTGGCATTTCGATCAGACAACTCGACACATCTCCAAGCGTTTGACACCAGGAGACCAATGGCTTCGAAGGGCCCCTGCATCCCTCCACAGCCGGAAAACACAAACACACCCTGTCTTGGTGGTGGTGTGGGTTTAAGAGAAAAGAGCAGAGATACTCGGAATGGTGCCAGCAGAAAAAGGGCCCTGCACAGTCGCCCGGGATGCCCCCGAAGGAAAAGCAACCCGTCGGTGCACCCCCCCCCCCCCAAACAGGGCCACGGACAAGGTATCCTAGGCGAGCGGGAACCTTGGCTCCGTGGCGTCTCTGGCATGTTTCCTTCCTCGGCTTCTTTCATAAACCCAAGGCCATCTGGCAACGCTCAGATGCTTACAATAGGGGGCGAGGACGCCTTTTGCCCAGACGGAGGGGGCTGGAGTCTAGACGCTCCCGAGGCGATGGGGGGGGGGAGGACACCAGGCCTGCCTGAGTGAGGCGGCGGGGGGGGGGGGATCCCGGGGAACCCGCCGCGTTAACCCCTCACCTTCCAGATAGAAGGCCCTGCAGCCGTCGTCTTTCAGGCGCTTGAGCAGCAAGCCCAGGACGGAGTCGCCGGCCGTGTTCTCGTTCCAGTCGCTGCTGCTCTCGTCGTAGAGGACGAGGGTGTCGGTCCCGCAGCGCCGGGCGAATTTCTCGCGCTCCTCCTCGCCGCTGGCGAAGAGGGCGCGCAGGGGCAGGTTGCCCTTCTGCAGGCGGCGCAGCATGATGCCCGGCAGGGCCACGTTGATGGCCGACTCGATGTGCGACGACTCGTACAGTTCCTGCGGGCGGCAGTCCATGAGCAGCAGGCGCTCGGCGCCCAGCTCCAGCTGCTCGTTCAGCCACGCCACCGTCTTGCTGATCGCCATGTCCGACACGAAGGGGGGAGCGGGGGGCCTGAGCGTATCTAGCATGAGGGAAAGCTGCGCAGGGCCGGCGGGGGCTCCGGAAGGCAGCAGAAACGCCGACAGGCAGCGAGAACTCGGACTTGGCCTCGACAGCAGCCGGGGGAGCGAGACGAGCCGCAGCCGCTCGGTCCCTTCGTGCGCCTGCAAGCCGGGAGCGCTCGGGGGCTGCTGAGGTTGTCAATGAACGCACGAATGGGTCGCTCTAATCGTCCCTCGAGGCCAAGCGCTGCCTTTCCTCCTCCAACGAGATCGGCTCCAACGTGCTCGGACGCCTTTGCTTACAACCGAAAGAAAGGCATGGCACAGAGCCCCTGCGCCTTCCCCTCAGTTCTTTGCTTGCAGGCTGCCGCTCCCGTGTGCAACTTCTGGCTGCCTCAGCACCCGCTTCTCGCATCGTGTTTCCCGCCCCCAACCTCCCCGTCGTCTTCTTCCTCCTCCTCCTCCTCCTTCCTCCCAAGTCCCCTTGATGTGATCAATGTCCCTTTTAATCAGCCCCGCAGGCCCCCCCCCCCGCCAGGCAGTTCCTCAATGGATACAAACATGGAACGTCTCAATGGATACATTCTCCGGCTCGGCCAATGAGCGCTCGCGGAAGAGGCTGTTGCCGTGGAGACGGACCGGCTGGAACAGGTTGTGTTGATGAATTGTTAATGAGTTTGTCATTCACAAAAACGGAAAGGAATTTCCGCTCCGGATAAGCCGAGTGCAAACAAGCAGCAACAGCAGCTCAGCGGGAGGAAGGAGGAAGGGGGGGGGGGGGGGGAAGGGCGGTAAGG